ATGTTTTCCAGCCTCCAAATGTCAGCACAGTAAATTTTTACCAGCAGTCAAAAAATGAAAAATAAATTTAAAAAGTAAGGAAAAGCATATCCAAAACAATTCTCCACAGCGATCCCTCCGTCTCGGGACAAGTGAAGTGTTAAAAAAAATCTGGCCCTCCATATTTTACTATGCATTTTCCAACTGAGGGGAAATATTATTGTTAAGGTCGGGGTTTAAGCTTGTAGCGAGGAACATGGCGTAAATCATGCTGCTGAACACACAGTCGAACATGGAAACGCAGAAGGACAGAGGCAAAGAGCCATGCATGAAATTAGTTCATTAATCTTTCCATGATAGGCTGTCCTTGTTTGGGGCAAACTCTATCAGCGTTAAACCGGGCACCCCTTCCTGCCTGACACATAGATTACACTGTTAGTCTGCGGCTGGGGTGTCTGAGAAATGAATGGCCGTGAGAGCGGGAAAATGAGGTAGCATGCCGCCCAAAAGTTAAGCAGTGACAACAACATGCGTTTGACATAGTGCTGGCACAAGTGAAGGTCGTCAAAAAATGTGCACGCTCAAAAATTTAAATGCAAGATTCATGTGCTGTTGCAAAGAATGAATTCAGTTTTAGGTTCATAAAAATAATTCTAGGTGCCATCTATGATGGCCTACATTTCTGAATTGCTGGGCCCATAAAGCACCTTAAGGTGTCTGAGGTCTTCTAGTCCGTGTTGTCTGAATGAGACAATGCATTCGCTGTATTTATCCCAATCACTCTGCATTCAGACAACGTCTTCTGAAGACTCACACACAGTATTTACATTTTGGACTGAGATAATTATGGTTTTTGAAAATGTTATTTCTGGTCTAATTTCATTAATGCCTGTCAGGATAAATGAAATTCACATTGTTTTAATTTGTTTTATGTATTTTATTATGTATCATTCTATGTCTGTGCATTCTAGTGTACCACTGGGCTGCAAGACAAATTTTCCTTTTTCTGAAAACAGAGTTTAAGACGGCAACTATTGATTATTTTCCTGATTGATTAATCTGCAGATTGCTTTTGTGATTACTCATTTGCTTTATAAAAAGTAGAAAATAGTGAAAAATATCTATCACAATTTCAAAGAGATCAAGCCGATGCCTTCTTGTCTTGTTTTGTCCGCTCAACAGTTTAAAACTTAAAGACACTGAGTTTACTGGCATGAAAGAATAAAAAAAATTACCAAATATTTGCATTTAATTTGCTGGAACCAGCAATTTCTTTCTGCCATTAATGCTTAATACAGTTTTATTGACCAATTATCAAAATAGTTGCAGATAAATGATCTGTTCAAAGTCTAATAGTTTAATTAACTTATTGTGTCTGGTTTAACAAAAATAGAGCTGCATTTTTTTTTAAATATTTTGTGCTTTACTTGTTATGGACTTCATTAATTTTTTGTGTTAACTATTCTAACATGTTAGGTAACTGGTCACATTCCATAGCTGAAGAAGGCCATGGGATAAAGTTGAAAGCACTGAGAATAAGTAAGTGGACCTTAGGACATATACCACAGATTTGTGTCCTAAAACCTGAGAATGAAGCAGAAAACTGTTTTTTTTTAAATTTAGTCTTTGTCTTAACCACTCCTGAGTTAGTAAGTGGCAGCACTACTGCACAGCTTTGTGACTTTGTTTCTGCTTCCCTGTCTCTCTAACACGCACACAGATGTACACACAAGCTTGTACACAGAACTTCCAGCATATGGCCTCTTCAATGTCACTGCCACGAGGAGAGATTGCATAGATTTCCCACATGGATGATGTCTCCTTACCTGGAGTATCAACCCCCATCTACATACACGTCCACCACCTCTAGGAAATTGCTCTCCCTGCAAAGTCAAACACACCCCTAACTGCCTTTTAAAAGACACAGAAGAAGGAGGTTGTGGAGGAGAAAGGATAAACGAGCAGAGACTTAAGCCGTCATTGGGAATCAGAGGGGGACTCATGAGGGACAGTTACTATATTGATTTCATAAATAAACAGAGATGGCCATCGATCCTAATGTTATTTTGCATTTCAATTACTGCCCAGAAACATAACCTTCAAACGTCTGCTTCTCCACAGTAATAACATCCACTGATAATCACAAGCAAGTCTTGTCCAGCGCAAATTGGCAGCCCCCCCCCCTTTTTTTTTCCAAATGTGTAAATGACAACTTTGCATTTGCCTAATGGTATTAGGGCAAGGGCTGAATTTCAAGTGAGACTCAAGCTGATACAGTAAGCGCTCCGGTCAGTTGACACAATGCAAATTAACATGGCGAAGAGGAATTAAGTTCACAATGTGAGACCTCGTGAAGATATGACGAGGCCCATTAAATTAAATATGCTGGCTGACCCACGCTCCCTGATTAGATGAACTGCTTCTTCTTCCCTCTCTCTCTCTGCTAATTTCATTTGATCAATAAAACAAACTCATTCTAAGAAGACCTCTCTGAAGCTTGTATTAAGCCTGAGCACATGAAAGCCACATTCATGGTTTGATTGAATAGCAGCAGCAAAAAAAAGTGCCCATCTACATCCTGATGAATTCAGAGTCCTTGACAGGCTGCCTAAAGGATATATCTATAGAGAGGGGGTCATGACATGTAATGAAGTTATTTCTCCTCTCATGCCGTCACAGACAGTAGCACCACGCTGCCATAAAGTTGGGCTGTGCCCTCGTATGCAGCAGCCCTGGCCATTAATAAACATGACAGTCTGAATACTTGTGAAACGGTGTCATGAGAAAATACAACTGGGAGTTTATGTTTGGAATTGCTTTTATCTCTGGTCATTTGTCCTCTTCCTCAAAGCTGCTGGTGAAAAATGGGCAGATTACGCACTGTTTTAATCCTTTTCACCCATTTTGGGAGAAAAACCAGCCGTGACCATGTGACTTAAAGTGCAGTGATAGATGTTTCCATACGGAACAAGAAGGTGACGTGGAAACAGCTAACTTTGTCCGCTCACTACAGTGATTAAGCAGAGAGGAAGACATTGCATTTACCAACAGTATTTTCGCTAAAGCTAAAGATTTAGACATTAAAATCTGACTTACTAATAAAACAGTTTTTGAAGAACACCCAGAATTAGCAACAACACCTTAATTTGTCAGTAACATATCAAATACCTCATAAATCAACTGTTTCAAAAGGACACACACGATGAAAACAACCACAGCCATGACTTGTCATTGTATTTTGTCTGTATTGCATCTTTTTTGGATTTTGGTTTTATATCAT